GAAACACATTTCTAAACATGAAGAATATAGCTGGAACCACAGAGGACAAGCTCTCTGCCTTCATGGATCTTGTAGCCTGGTAGAAGAGATGGATGATTAATCAATATAATCATGAAATATGTCAGGGTGGTGGTGTTCTATTTAGGTTATCAGGATAGGTCCTTCATTACATGACGTTTGATCAGAGACCACAGAGGGTGAGTAATACGCCATGGGCAGATCCTAGGGAGGACGTTCCAGGAAGAGGAAAGAGTGGGAACATGGGCCGTGCCACAGGAACATGCTTGGTATATTTAAGGATTAGCAAGGAGGCCAGTGTGGCTGAAGGGAAATGAGAGAGAGGGATGGTGGTAAAAATTATGCCAAAGAAGCAATGGAGGGTAGATCTTCTGGGCTGCACTCTCCAATGTGTAGCCACTAGCCAAATGCGTTTACTCAGCACTAGAACTGTGGCTGTGAATTAAGATGTGCAGTAAGTCTCATGTAGACACTGGATTCTGAAAACTTGGCACAATAAAAATAATAGAAAATATTTAATAATTGATCTATTCATTACATGTTTAAATTAATATTTTGGGTAAGTTAAATAAACTATATCACTAAAATCAGTTTCATCTGTTACTTTACACTCCTTAAATGTGGCTGATAGAAAGTGTAAATAACCTTTGTGGGAATTATAGGTGACAGTCATGAGTTTGGCATTTTTGTTCAGCAATACAGGAAGTTCAGAGAAACGCATTATGAAGTACTTACCCTATTTCTCTGGGTAAAGTTTATGAAACTAGAATTCCATTCACAGACAAATTGTTCAAATGGAAAGGCAAGTAAAGATATTGAGGGGAAAGAGACTGACTGGACTCAAGGAAAAGGAATAAATAACAAAACAAATGAAAGTTAATTGTTTAGGATATGGTAATGAAGTTCAATGTAATTAGCAAGTAATGATTGTTGAAAAAGAAGACATAGGTAAAATAAAATAGTCTGACAAACAGATAAAATTGGATCCATTTCTAAACTCCAAATGGATCAGAGAAATATAGGCAAAAAAGAAACTACACAAGTTACTTCATTTTAATCATCCTGGTGGATGTGAACTGGCTTTATGCTTTTAAATCGCACTGCCATGGTGCCTATGAGGATAAGGGCTTTTTATGAGTTTACTGGCTATTTGTATATCTTCTTTTGTCAAGTACACATTTAAAACTTCTGCCCATTATTTTGGTAGTGCTGTATTTTTATTTCTTATTGATTGGCAGATGTTTGTATGTTCTAGATAAGAAAACTTTGTTGGGTCAGCCAGGCATACTGGCTCATGCCTATAGTTTTGGAGGCCAAGGTGGGAGGGTCACTTGAGACCAGGATTTGAGACCAACCTGGCCAACATGGTGAATCCCCAACTCTACTAAAAATACAAAAACTAACCTGGCATAGTGGTGTGCACCTGCAATCCCGGCTACTTGAGAGGCTGAGACACAAGAATCACTTGAACTCAGGAGGCAGAGGCTGTAGTGAGCTCAGATAGTACCACTATACTCCAGCTTAGGTGAAAGAACAAGACTCTGCCTCAAAAAAGAAAGAAGAAAGAAAATGAAGGAAAGAAAGGAAAAGGAAGGGCAGGGGAAGAGAGGTGAGAGGAGGGGGGAGGAGAAGGGGGAAGGGGAGAGTGGAGGGGAAGTGGGAGGAAGAGGCAGAGGGGAGGGAGAGGTGAAGTGGGAGGGAGAGGGAGAGGTGAAGGAGAGGGGAGAGAAGGGGAAGGGGGAAGGAGAGGGGAAGGGGAGGGAAGGGAATGGGGGAAGGGAAGGGGAGGGGAAGGAGAGGGGAGGGAAGGTGGGGAGGGGAAGAGAAGGGGAAGAGGGAGAGAGAGGGGAAGGGCAGGGGAAGTGAGAGAAACCTTTGTCAGATACATGCATAGAGATATGTTATCCCAATCTGCAGCTTACCTTTTCATTATTTTATTGATATCTTTAATCAGAATAGAAGTTCTAAATTTTAATATAATCCATATTTTTTGATCAATTCCTTTACGGTTGGTGCTTTATGTGCCTTTTTTAACAGCACTGTTTACAATAGCAAAGACCTGGAACCAACCCAAATGCCCATCAATGATAGACTGGATAGGGAAAATGTGGTACATATACACCATGGAATATTATGCAGCCATCAAAAACGATGAGTTCATGTCCTTTGTAGGGACATGGATGAACCTGGAAACCATCATTCTCAGCAAACTGACACAAGAGCAGAAAATCAAACACCGCATGTTCTCACTCATAGGTGGGTGTTGAACAATGAGAACACATGGACACAGGGAGGGGAGCACTACACACTGGGGTCTGTTGGGGGGAAATGGGGGAGGGACGAGGGGGTGGGGAGGTGGGAAGAGATAGCATGGGGAGAAATGACAGATACAGGTGAGGGGAAGGAAGGCAGCAAACAGCACTGCCATGAGTGTACCTATGCAACAATCTTGCATGTCCTTCACATGTACCCCAAACTAAAATGCAATAAAAACAACAAAAAAGAAAAACTGTGCACTTAAAAAAAAAATCTTTGTCTATTTTGAATTTAGGAAGATATGTTATCTTCATGTTTGTATCTTTCACACATGTCTATGATCCATCTCCTGTTAACCTTTGTGTGTGGTGTAGAGTAGGGGCTACAGATCTTTTTTTTCATGTGGATATCCAACAAACCCGTCACCATATATAGAAAAGATAATCTCTTTTTCACTGCACTGCAATGTCACTGTTGTCATAAATCAAATGACAATCCTATGAAGTTGTGTTTGGGGCTCTTTATTCTGTTCCTTTGTCTACTTGTCTGCCCTTGTGTTAATACCCCATTGTTCTGATTACATTTGCTTTAATGTAGATCTCGAGAATTGGCACATAAATCCTCCAACTTGCACTCCTCCCTCAAGATTGTCTTGGTCCTTTGTAGTACATATACACTTTAGCATAGCTTTGACAGTCTCTCTCTCTCTCTCTCTCTCTCTCTCTCTCTCTCTCTCTCTCTGTCTCTCTCTGTCTCTCTCTCTCTCATGTACACATACGCAACTAACTGCTGAACAATATTAATAACAAAATAAATAATAATGTAGTTAAAAACTGAAATAATAAATATCCACACATCCACACTGATATCAAGGAATTAGTGAATAATAAGTAGATGAGGAAAGACAGCTCTTCCTTATAGAATTCCAAATAATATAACTAGAAAGATAAGGGGAAATAGAAAATCACCCTTAGTGCACCATAGTAAAATCTGCTGCAAGCAAATTCCACTAATGAATGCAAAATCAGTGGGCAAAACTTCAAGGAAAAACAAGATACTTGCAAGCCTTAACATATCTCCCCTAAGATTCTTACTAATTACTGTGGTGAGTTTTAACACGCCTCCCTTCTGGAGGTGGAGCTTAACTCTATTTAGCTTGAATGTGAACTGGACTCAGGGACTAGCCTCTAACAAATGGGGTCTGGAAAAAAGAAAATTGTAACTTTATAGTAAAGAAACCTAGCAGACACCATCTTAACCAAGTGATCAATATGGGCATCACCATTAACAAGACATATTGATGTCATGTGCCCTGATAACATACAATGAGAAGGGAGCTCCACTTCTATGCTGTTTGTCCCCAAAATCCATAACCCTATGATATCATTTGGCTCTGTGTCCCCACCCAAATCTTATCTCGAACTCCAGCTGTCAAGGGAGAGAAGTGATTGGGTTAGGAGGGTGCTTTCCTCCCTGCTGTTCTCATGATAAGTGAGTGAATTCTCACAAAATATGATGGTATTATAAATGGTAGCTTTTCCTGTGCTCACACACACCCTCTCTTGCCTGCCTCCATGTAAGATGTGCCTGCTTCCCCTTCCACCATGACTGTAAGTTTCCTGAGGACTTCCCAACCATGAGGAACTGCGAGTCAGTTAAACCTCTTTTCATAAACCTGTTCATAGACCCTGCACCAGAAAAGGAACAGCTCAGCCTTACCACCACTGGCTTCTCCACAGGGCTTGATGTGTCTCTAGGGAACAGCCTGCAAAGCCCCAGCTGAGGGATAACATTGTTCATTTGGTCAACCCTTGTATTCTCCCAACTATATTTCAAATTCGCTGAGGTATGAATATCTCCTAAACTGACCAGTTATTTTAGGAACTGTATGTAATCAGTCTTGGCTCTCCTACTACCCAGTCTTGGGTAGTATCTGTATAGCAGTGTGAGAACTGACTAATACACCCCATTTCTAATGCTCAGAAAACCTCAGAGAATACCAAGTTAAAGAACATTCTAAAAAATCACTGGCCACTAGTCTTCAAAAGTGTCAAGGCCATGAAAGAAAAAGAAAGCCTGCACAGCTATCTTGAATTATTGGAAAGCAAGGAGATGTGACAATTAATTGCAGTGTGAGATCCTGGATTTGGACCCTGCACCAGAAAAGGAACAGCAGCAGGTAGACCAAAATCTGGTTAAGTCTGAATTGTAGTTAACAGCAATATACCAGTGTTAATTTCTTAGTTTGACACATGTACCATGGCTATGTAAGAAGCCAACATTAAGAGAAGGTGGATAAAGGTACATGGACCTCTCTGTGCCAGCTTTATGACTTTTCTGGAAATCTAAAATTATTCAAAATCGAAAGCTCTGATATATTTTCTGGAAAACATGTGCAGCAATCTCCTCGGAGTAATTACCAGGTGAATGTATGCAAGCAGATCCACTTTCTATTTTATACATTTCTGAGTATGGTTTTTATCCTTCTTTTGGAAACAGAACATTTACAATAGAAAATAACTGTATTTTTAAGGAGTTACTCTGGGAATTAAGTACGGAGAAAGGTTGGCTTAAAAGCTGACACCTGAAAAGAGAGAAAGCTTTTGTTTGGGGACAAAAGTTTCTAAAACTTTCTGCATGTTTTGAGTTAACAAAGGCACCATTTTGGCATCTGAATTGTGTCTTACGCTTAAGGTACAATAGGAATACAGAAGACAGTTACTTACCAGGGTGACTTTTCTCTGTGGTTTCAGCAGCTTTGGTTTATGGAACGTGGGGGCTATCGGAGCTGTGGAAGTAGGTCAAGGGTTTAGCTTTCAGTTCCTCCCAGAACTCTTAGTGGCTACATATCATGAGCATCAGGGACATACTCTGAGAGGTCTTGGACCCCTTCCTGATCCCAAGGAAGAACTTTCTGATCTAGGCATCATCAGGTGTCCCTCTGTGCGGGTGATCCTCCCCTAGTCTTTGAACATGTTGTCATTTCCCTCAGTAAGGTAAACAAAACAACTCTGCATAAAACTCTGCCAGAGATGCAGATGTTGGGTGTGAAGGTGAGAACCAGATGTACCCAGTGAAGGCTGAAGCTGAGACCTTCCCTGGAGACTCCTTCCTACCCACACACCAGCGCTGATAGCAATAACTCTTGATCCTCATGGCAGCCCTGTGAGGTCATCAGGGAGGGTTTCATTGTCCCCACCTAACAGAAAAAGAAAGTGAGGTCCTTCCCTCTATGTCATATAACTAGTCCTGACCCATTTAGGATTTGAACTTGGCATTGAAAGCCAGGCACTACCACTTACCTCTCTTAAGTCTCACTTTAAACTTGGCATTGAAAGCCAGGCACTACCACTTACCTCTCTTAAGTCTCACTTTAAACTTTTGTAAGGGTGGGTAATGTCTACTGTGGAACGAATGGCATTGAGTGGTATGATGCCTGACCCAGGCAGGCATTCTCTGCTCCCTTCCCTCCCAGGTCTACGCTTTTCATCCCCCTGCAGTACGACCACACCCTCCAGCCCTTCTTTCCACTCCAGTGCTCAGCCTTACCACCACTGGCTTCTCCACAGGGCTTGATGTGTCTCTAGGGAACAGCCTGCAAAGCCCCAGCTGAGGGATAACATTGTTCATTTGGTCAACCCTTGTATTCTCCCAACTATATTTCAAATTCGCTGAGGTATGAATATCTCCTAAACTGACCAGTTATTTTAGGAACTGTATGTAATCAGTCTTGGCTATCCTAATACTCTTGCAGATCTTTCCTCCAGAAACACCCATCTTCCTCACTCACAATGCTCTAAATCATAACTGGAATCACGGGATAGCCCTAATTTTATACCCAGAACAAATTTGAAATAAACTGGACACCTGATTGACATCTTTAAAAATTTAGAGAGCCTTTCTTCCCTGAATGAACCAAGAAGACTTCCTCATCCCAACCCTCCATGTGTGGCACATTTTAATAGTTCAAAGTGAAATCCAATCCGGAGGCATCTGTGGATGCTGACCTTATCCCTGCACAAGCTATGTGAGGTTCTTGCCTCCTTCTCCACCTCCACCCTCAACCCAGATACTGGGCTAAGGGCTGAGATGGCTGAGTACCAGTTATGCCCAGAATCTAGGTGGTGGTCCAGACTTTATAATCATTAAATGTCATATCATGTTCCCCATCTGCCTATGCTCCCTGTCCTAATCCAACATGGAACCCCAGACCCACATGGATCAATAATGACAGTTTCCAGGTAAGAAACTGCAGGCCAGCTCCTTACCTTTGGCAGGGACTGCAGGAGGAACGTCAGGCTTCTCCTTCTGCCTCTTGCCCTTCTTGGGCTGTAGTGGGGCCAAGCTGGTCACACTAGTGACAGTCTCCCCTGAGCTGAAGAAGAAAAAGATTCCAGTGAAGCCAAAGGCAGATTTGTTGCAAAGGAGAAAGGAAAAAAAAAAAAAAACTCCACGATAGCTTCCAATAGTTTCTGAGTGCTCCCTGTTGTACGTATGCAAGGGAAGGTTATCATATGGGTAGACTAGAAGTACTCTGTTCTTTTTTTGGATTTAATTATTTAACTCTTTAATATAAGATGGAAATTTCTGGAACATCATTTTTATTCACTTGTAACATCATGTTGAGGGATTTCCTTAAGCTGAAAAAAGACCTGCTTTTTCATCATAATTTTTCTTCAAAACAGTAAAACTGCACTGAATTTAATTTTAATTCATATTTCAACAATTTGATCTCATTTGGACAATGAATCGCCACATTGACATAGGATAGACAGTCTATCTCTCAGAATCTTGTGTCTCCCCTTGAGCCAGCAGGACTGGTAGGAATTTTTGGCTAAGAAAGTCCATCTTAAGATTAACTTACAAGAAAAGTTATTCTACATCTCGGTTTGGGACAGGGCTGTATTTTGTCTCTGACAAAACAGAGCAAGCCTTGTTGAAGTGAGTCCAACCAAGAAAAACAGAAAACAGGCCCGCCCAGTAACTCCCTATCGAGAGCTGTTTGATTAGAGAGAAGTGCTATTTGTGGGAGCCCGTTGTGGGGTAAGGCTATTTTTCTGGCTCCAATCAGGGCAGGAAGGATGTCGCACGTGCAGAGGCCTTGCTGTAAGAGGTACCAAGTTCTGGCCTGGCTGCCTCCCAGAAGGAGCTTCCTTCCCACAGGGGCGTGGCATTTCTGCTCCATGATACACAGTGGCTGGATTGAATGAACAGGCACTGAACAGGGATCAAAAAGCCACTAATGCTGATTCGACTCTGACTAGAGAGGTGACCTTGGCTTACTTACTCACTTCCCCGGGTTTCCATCCACCAATCTGTAAAACGGGAGGCATATCCTGGCTATCTATCTTTCAGGGTTATGAAGGTCAGATGAGAGTAGTGCCTAAATTAGATGGGACATGAAACGGCTAAACAGCAACTGACCCCAGTCTCCAGTGTGCAGGTGCAGTGTACATGTTTCAAGTTAGTACCCAAGGGAGGATGTTGCTGCCACTTGGGCATTTCATGGTGCCCATGTTTCAGCCCTGTGAGGAGGGCTGCAAGTTTCAACTCGGACCTTGATAAGGAAGTCTTCCTGCCCAGGATAGTACAGCAAAACATCCCCTAGACAGCTGTCCTCCCACTGATAGAGTGATGCTAGAAAGCGCCACAGCAGGACAGACCAGGCAGGTCATGAGAGAGACTGCATTCCTGAGTGACGGGCAGCGGCTCCAGAACACCAGGCAAAGCAGCCCACCTAGATTTCTCAAGGTTTTGAACAAATTCTGAGCAACCATGTTTTTTAGAAACATGGTTAACATGTTTCTAAAATTAACAAATGTAACAGCTATGTTTGTGTCTATCCTATGCAAGGCACTGTGGAAAGAGCTTGGTATCCATAACCTCTGGTCCTCCTTGTTGTGAAAGTGGGGCCTCAGAGAGATCTGGGTCCTTCCCAAAGGTCACCAGCTGGGAAGGGGACATGGGAATTGATCCATGTCAGCGAGCTTACTCTGGCCCTGAAGTAAGGACACAGGACCCAGCCCAGACAGCAGATAACAAGAAAACTGGAAGAGGAACAAGGTTAATAGAGCCAGAGCTACAGTGGCTTCTCCCAGTTTAAATCATCTCTCTAAAGAGGAAGTACCAGAAGGAGACATCAACATTCCATAGCATTTCAAGTCTGATATAGATTCAGTGTGGGGAACCCAGAGCACCATTGAAGCTGCTCAAATTCCTGCCCCAAAGGGAGGAGGAGAGGCCAATCCAGGTACTGGGGTCCTGAGGACTGTGAATGTGGCTGGTGCCCAAGACCCAAGACCATCCTAGGAAGGATGGGCAGAGAAGGAGGAAGGCATGTGCCTGGAAATTGTCTGGAACAAGTGATGTCAGCTGCCAAAATGAAGGTGGCTAGCCAGGTGGGGATTTTGTGCCTCTAGCACTAACAGTATTTGGGAGCAGAAGGCGGGGAGCAGGAGGAACAGCACAAACTGAGCTGATTCCGCCAAAGAACATAATTATAACTAAGAAGCATGCATCCAGCCACACTCTGCTTTCAAAACTAAATGTGAGAACAAAGCAACTTGTGCTGAACCATGGTGCCTGTGGCATCACCAGTCCTCATCCTTGACTCTAATATCCCTGGGCCATCAAATGGTCCTTCTAATATGGCCTCTCTGGGATATGCAGTGAACCGTGTGAGCCAAGGGACTTTCATATATCCAGCCATCTCAAAGACGCCAGGTGCTTCCTCTGGCCCAGGGCAATCTTTGCACCTGGACATATGAATTACAAATCAAAATGCTGCTTTGACATCTGTTCAGTCTTACTCCTTGAATGAGTAGGTACCCCTCCTCCTGGGCACAAAGCTGTCTGTCACACACTCCAAAGGGATTTACTGTGGTCTGACCCGGGACACCTGGGGATGTCGCATGCTTTTGTCAAGCCAAAGGTCCCCATCCAGAAACCCTTAGTGCATGAGGCTAAGGGAGCTGTGTTGGCTCCAGTCCTGCCAACATCATTCCAGGCCCCCTGAGCTCTTCTTGCTCCACATGTCTTTCAAAGGCATAGCTTCAGCTGGTTATTTTATTTCCAGAAATGTCCATGTGTTTCCTGTCTTCCTGCCTATCTCGGTTCTGACAAGAGGATGTCTGACACAGACGAGGTAGGGATCCATCAGTTCCTTTACAAGCAGCTCTATGGCCCCCTTCCAAGATTTCACACAGCACGCTTGCCACCCCATAACCCTGTGCCCAGAGCACCATGTGCAGAATCTTGAAACGGAAGCACTGGTCTCTACAACTATGGTGGCAATTTGCCATTATCTTTTAAAGTAAAATGAACAATATTAACAACTGTAGATACTCCTTCTTCCCAAGATCAGCTGCTATTGATAAAGGCCAAGGACTCATGCAACAGGACAAGTTTCCTGAAGTCTCGCCTTAGGCTTTTTGAACTTGCTCCTGCAGGTTTTCCCTGCCACTGAAACACACAATTTCAATTGCTGCCGTATGCCGGGAGCTGCTTAAAAGTGGTAGAACTTCACTTTCAGGATGGACGAATGGTGCTACCCACTCACAGGGACTCTTTGAAATGATTCTTTTCCATTAAGTGGGTGACACAAGAAAAGCACATAGAATTGTCTAGTGATAGTAAGTGCTTACTGGGAGTCACCTATCATGATCTTACCAGCATTATTATCATCATTATTATCATGGAATCTGCTCTCTGAGCCCTTAAATCGGGAGCAGGGCAAAGCAGTATTCTCTACAACCCAAGCGAGTACCTACACACCCAGAAAGGACACCAGACCCCTGTGGGTCATGGAGCTACGCTCTCTGCTGCATCTGCTCCGTGACATTTCTGCACATATCCTCTGCACAGCATTAGAATAAAACCTGCTCCTTTGTGAGGTATTTGCCAAGCCATCTCCCTGTCCACAGTGGCCCCATGGCCTTTACAATAAATGCCTCTAATGCCTTCCACCCAGCAATCTGTAAAATGGGAGGCATATCCTGGCTACCTATCTTGCAGGGTTATAAGGGTCAGATGAGAGAGTAGTTCCTAAATTAGACGGGGTATGAAACGGCTAAATAGCAACTGACCCTAGTCTCCAGTGTGCAGGTGCAGTGTGGACGTTTCACGGTACTACCCAGGGAGGATGATGTTGCCACTTGGGTATTTCATGGTGCCCATGTTTCAGCCCTGTGATGAGGACTGCGAATTTCAACTCAGACTTTGATGAGAAAATCTTCCTGCCAGGAGAGTACAGCATAATATCCCCTAGAGAGCTGCTCGCTTGGGTTGCAGAGAATACTGCCTTGCCCTGTTCCCGATTCAAGGGCTCAGAGAGCAGATTCCGTGGTAATAATGATGATAACAATGCTGGTAAGGTCATGATAGGTGACTCCCAGTAAGCACTTACTATCACCAGAGACAATTCTTTGTGCATGGCATATGTCACCCACTTAATGGAAAAGACTCATTTCAGAGTCCCTGTGAGTGGGTGGCACCATTCATCCATCCTGAAAGTGAAGTTCTGCCACTTTTAAGCAGCTCCTGGCATACTGCAGCAATTGACTTTGTGTGTTTCAGTGGCAGGAAAAGCTGCTGGAGCAAGTTCAAAAAGCCTAAGGTGAGACGTTAGGAAACTTGTCCTGTTTGCGTGAGTCCTTGGCATTACATCACCCAAGAAGCTCATTCTTGGAGCCACTCAGAAGCTCCTGCAGCTGTGAGAGAAGGCCTTCCTTTGCATTTCCCTGCTGGCTTCATGAAGTCCACAGCAGAGGCTTTACCAAGCTGGTGTTTTTGTTTGAGCTAACATTTCCGTACACAAGATACCTTGGTGGTGCTCTACAGGGTCGCAGGCTTGTGTCCTAGTAATAAAGGCAGGGAGAGGTGACTCCTCAGCATCTGCCCAGCCAGGGGTAGGGCCATGTTTGGGTGGGAGACCCTACCCGCTACTCAGCCTTAGTCCATGCTGGAGGCCTCTCCACTAACAGGGAGTGCAGGGTTGTGCTTGCTGATTAGGAAGAAAGATGACTCATTCACAAAGGCCATGGATGGATTCATGTGAGCTGACCCCTGCTGGCACCTGTCCCTGCCCAGGGGAGCCTGCCTGGCCTGGGTGCTCATCACCACCTGGACACAGTACTTCCCAGAGAAGGGCAGGGACTGAAAGCTACCACCCTGTGTCTCTCTGGCTAGAGCTGTCCTGAGGCCTGCCCACTGTAACATCTCTAGTTAGGTGACTCTGCAAGGTTCCTTCCCAGACAAGACCATCTGAGCTGGCTTTTCTGTCACCTGGTATATTAGCTCATTTGTGTTGTTATAAAGGAATATCTGAGATTGGGAAATTTATTAAAAAGGTTTATTTTGGCTCATGGTTCTGCAAGC